GCACCCCCAGCGTTTCGCCCCAGCGTTTCGCCCAGCTCCGCTGTAGGTCTGAGATCGGTCTGAGAGTCGACGGGAGGAGCTGGAAAGATCCAAAAATTGATGGTGCTTTGATGGCCGTTTTTGGGCCTCTTTAAAAAGGGATTACCCTTGCAAGTTTGTTTAATATAGATGTAAATGTGTATATATATATATAATTATATATATATATACATATTTATTATATATATTGTGAAATGTTGGACGCTCCAGTCAACGGATCAGCAGCGCCCCAAACCCGGGACTCTCCGAGAAGTTACCCGCGGGGCGAGAAGCTTTCACTCAGCCGTGGAGGGAGGAATGCAATAGACAACTTAAATCAAGTGAGTGAATTTTAGTGTCTATCCCATAGGATCCATGGTGCTGGTATATATGCTAACATTGGGGGTATATTGATGGTAAATGTTACCATATATTGTGAGTAAATTTCTGGTTGGGATATTTTTTTTGTGATGTCATCCTTCCCATTGACGAACTCATATTTTTTCAAGATGGTTAAAACCACCAACCAGATTTGAGTGAATGCGCTAAACCAAATGTGTATTGTAATTCATTATTTGGTCACTAAATGTTAGCCCTATTTTATATAGTGTCTATTGTAATCAATACCAAATAATCTGGGTAAATTATAACATTATAACAACCTCACTGATCGACCTCACTGGGAATCATGGTTAATAAGGGGAATCATCCCCAAATGGCCGCAAGATTCAGGTTAGTGAAATAATATTTCATTTACCCAGAAATGATAAACCATCCCCAAGTCATCACCATTTTTATGGGTAGAATCCATCGCCAAATGGTAGGATTGGCATTGGGTTTCTCACATGATTTGATTCAAGAGCCATCAAGAAGGGCTGGTCAAGCATCGACTATTTGGACCGGTTTTTTTGGCGAGGGTTGGTTGAGGTTAAAACCCCATGCCATGATTCCGGGAGTATTTCAAACCATCCGCCAAGTTGTGTTCTGATGGATACAAGAAACTGGCTACAGTACGTTGGAACATTTGCATCCGTCAGTTTTGGCTTTGTCTTTGTTTGAAAGCATGATTTCGATGAGCATCGACGTGCTTTCAAACAAAGCTGGCAGGAAAAAAACCGAATTCAGAGAGCTCCAGTAACTCCAACATCGTCCACTTATGCGAACTTATGCGACATCTACAAATGCGCCATCATCAAAAGTTGGATGATAACTTATAACACCATAAAGGGCATGATCATACCACCATAAATATGAATCATATAGCCGGCCAGCATCTTTGGATTCATATATATATATATGCTGGGATGATCATGACCCATTTATTCCATGTAACTTGACCACGGCATACATGCTTCTATGATTTGATATGATCAAGTGAATCAAGTCCTCTTGCGGGTTTCCATCACTCTGCCTGACCGTTGAAACGCTTTAAAAGCGGCTCGGGCAGACAAAATTTTCGCAGCAGAGGGCCCGCCATCGATGGAACGTTGCTTTCAGATGCAGCGGCGGCCGTCTTTTCCAAGGAGACGAGAAGTTGGTGTCGAACATGGAACATGCTGTGCATATTTTGAATAATTTGCACTAAGGGGAATCATCTCCAAGAATGGTTATAGTTATAATATATATATATATATATAGAGATTTGGTTTTGGAATGTTTTGGATTTGGATCTATTGTAAAACTCTTCGGATTGTTTGTTTCACAGGGAACTGTACACAACATCATGATTCTTGCATGTTTGCTGTCATCAAATGCCATAGGTTTGCTGTCATAGACAGCAAAGCCATGCATTTGATGGTGAAGACTCAGTGAAGACAATGGTTTCCTGTAGATGTTCCCTCAAACATCCTTAAACTTACCCTCTATGGAATATATATGGAATAGCTATGGAATATATATGGAATATATATACATATATTCCATATATATGGATATACCCTCTGGTAAACTAACAGTTTGCTATTGAACATGCCCCTAGAAATAGTGGAATTACCCACAAAAAATGGTGATGTTTCATAGTTTTTTGTATGTTTACCAGAGGCTCTCTACCTGGTGGTGGCCAGGGCCAAGGGGTGATGTTTATGGCTATAATTTTGGGAATCTAAAATCCATAAGTTGGGGAATAGTTGGGATATAACAGAGATAACACCTACAACTATAGTTATATAATTCTATAGAATGTTATAGAACCCATGAATATTAGTGGAATTGCACTCTTATAAGTGGTTCGTTCCAAAAAATGCGTGTCTCGAAAATCTGGAAGAACCTCCAGTGAAGTGGTGTTTTGTCTCTGGTAAACATACAAAAAGCTATGGAAAATGGCAATTTATAGTGGATTTACCTATGAAAAATGGTGATTGAGTGGGATTTTCCATGGGATTTATTAGGATATATGATGGGATTAACCCTCTGGTAATGACTGTTACATAGCTATTGAACATGGCCATAGAAATAGTTGATTTACCCAGCTACATAGCATGGTGATTTTCTATAGTTTTTTGTATGTTTACCAGGCCGGGAAACTCTTCTCATCGTCTCCTTGAAGCAATTGAGTGCCGGTCAGTGATTTTGCAGCCATGTTGCCCCGTAGGTGATCCCATCATTTTGGTTCACGTTTGGACACTCGGGGGAAAAAAAAACGAAGATCGAAGTCGTTTTCAGCACTGAGTTCATATCAAGCAACGTCCAAAAATCACATTTAGGCCTTTTTCCAGGGGCAAAGGAAGAGGTCCGGTACCCAAAGAGCCAGCTAAGCTTAGTGCGGCGACGCGGCTAGGATTCCCGTTGCCATCAGGGGAACGTGAGCCGGAGGTGTGACAGTTCATGGGTGAACGCCAACCTGATCCGGTCGTATGATGCTATATTAACAGATTGATTGGTGTACAATATACGATCTGTAAATGTCTCAAAGAAATTGAAATAAGGGGAAGCGACTATAGTGTTTGATGATGTTTGATGCAATTATCAACCAAGCACATATGTTGGGTCTGTTTAAGTCTCTTTGCCAAGCACAAAATGTTTACTAAACCACCAGAGAATGAGGATATCGTCCATACAGTTGGCAGCCTGTAAAAGATTAAAAGGCATCCCTCAATGTCGACCCTAGACGTGGGAGAATCACAAGCGATTGACATTCATTTTTGTTTATGTTTCAGGATGGGTTAAAAACTACCGGCCAGAAAGTTGTGTACCCTCTGGTAATTTAACATAGCTATTGAAAATGGTGATTCATAGTGGATTTTCCCTTTTAAAAATTTGTGATTTTCCATAGTTATGTTAGTTTACCAGAGGGTATATAAAAAAAGATACATGTCACTAATACGAGATACTCTTTGGAAAACCCACCATGATTGTAGATCAGTTTCCGAACGGGGAAAAAACCATGGGTTTTCCACATATTTTTTCTATGCCCACATGGGTCACATGGGTTTTTCAGAGCTGGTCTATGAAGGAAGGCTGGGTATGCAACAGGGGAGCTTCAAGTGAGCAATGTTCAAAACCCCGGTTGGTTGATGATTGTGGGATTATAGGGAATTAGACCAGCCAATATTGGGTAATGGGGGCATCAAGGATTAAAAACATACTAACCAATATCATGGATTGTACTACCCAACGAGCCGAGCCAGTACAAAGGGACAGACACCATGGGTTTTGAACACTGCTCAGATGTGTTTCTTCCAATGGGCCGGGTGATTTGGGATGAAGAATTCTGAGTACCGAGGTGACGAGGTGTTGCAAGTAGCAGTTTAAACAAATGTTGACCAAAGAAAATGAAACTATCTTCACTAGGATTTTTTCAGAAGCTGAGTGCAAAATGTTGATTTAGGATGATTTAGGCGTCACTATCAGTCACTATCATCTAATCATCCCCTATCACTCAGTGATTTTGAGGGTATACTTGCGTGAAGGCTCCCCATTTCTTCCATTTTGAAAAGGGAAGCCTGTGTATGCCTAGCTCGTTAACGTCACTCCTCATTGATTCAATGGTTTGGTCGTCTCTTCAATCAATGGATATTCTCTGGAGAATCTACAGGGTTTGTTCCCATGAAATAGTTCTCGTTTTCCTGTACAAATTCCCTTACACCAATCCATTGATTCAAGGAATTTCAAGGATCAATGACGATCAGATGACTTTCTAACTACAGAGGCCTTGGACTCATGTGTCTCCCTGACACCATCTCTCAAGTCCGCGCGCGAAACCCAAACCATACCAGCGCGGTTTTAGCAGACGTGCGGCAACTGACCATCTGAAGAATCAAAAGGAGTGCGCCCAAAGTTGTGGATGAGTTTCATGACGACGTCACTGCCACATCAGTAGAAAATATCGCTTTGTATAGGGGAATCATCCCCTTATGGACTATTTCAGGCTTGTCAATGATTGTCATTCCAGTCGGTTGAACGCTGCCACTTTATTTTGGGAGTGTTTGTGGGAAAGTCTTGGTGAATCGGCGATTCGTTAAACTTAGATCACGTTAGATCACTTACCCTCTGGTATGACTAACGATAGCCATGGAAAATCATCATGTTCAATATAGTAAATGATCATGTATATCATCTATAAACGGACCATTTTCCATAGATATGTTAAATAACCAGAGGGTATATCCATATATTTCATATATCAGTTTCCATATCCATATAGCGTGAAGCGTGAAGTCACCAGACTTGTTTTTACGCACGGACCGAGCGGCTGGTGCACGGAATATGTTAATTATCTCATCGGTTGATCCTACAAAAAAATGGGGCAACTTTTCCCGTGGGACAAACCCCAATGACCGGAGACAATTATGTAATATTCTGATTTTGATATACAAACAGATAATAATAGTTATCACTGTTCAATTGATATGTTCATGTTTGTAACATTGATATACAATCAATAGATATGAAACTATATATACTACTATGAATCAATGAATGTCTATGTTCAATTTGTAGTTTCTTCACTGAGCCGAATCTTGTGCCGCCTGAGCCTTACTCGGCTGGAATCGATAGAGGGTCCGCTTTTTTTGGGTCGGCAGCGATGGAGGATGGCAACGATGGCAGCGCCTTGCTTTTCGTGCCTGGGATGTGGATCTTGAGAGATTTGTTGGGCCAGATAGGTTATGTTAGCCATGGAAGCCATGGCCCATTAATAGATGATTTTCCCAGCTAGACACCTCCATTTATAAGGGATTTTCGATGGCTATGTTAAACAACCAGATGATATCACTTTTATTCACTTTTGATGTGGCTTCATAATTGTTTGATGATGCATTTAGTAGACTATCTTTATATCTTTGGTGTGCTTGGTTCTTGTGGCAGTACAGACCGACGAAAAGTCAACTTGTTTAGGGGGTATCTGTTCTCAGTCTAATCATATTTGGGGCTTTTTTTCCCCTGGATTATGTCTTTGGCTTTCTGGCATGATATGATGAGATGATGTGACTTGATGTGACATCAGTGCAATCTGATCATGACCCCGTAACACGGAAAAAACACAACAACTATGCCAAGTTGAACACTTATTGTTTGTGGAGAAACAAGGAATCAGCGTTAGCCAAGTGGCAGGACGTGGCTGGATTTTCGCCGAAATACAGTGAAATAGAGCTGTGAAATACTGCATGAACATGGCATCTGAGAATTTTCTTAACTGAGTGTGATGATGTTTTGCTCATCAGTCCTCATTCCAACATGGTTGCCGGTCAAGGCCAGCTCTTCACAAAATAAACTGTGCCGTTGTGGCAAGCCCATCCTGTAAAAGTGATCTGTAAAACCGCTGCTTTTTTGGGCTATCCAAACGTTTTTTGATCACTGAAATGTCCTTTCTATGGGGATATCCTTCTATGCAATGAAATGGGTATGGGTCAATACCTATAGCTACATTTTTCGTGGGATGAACATCCATTTACCAGCTATTTTGGGGTTCACTAGGTACCAGGGTTTTGACCCATCCCCAAATATCCTTTCCCCAAGAACCTCCATCAGTTCCTTCTCTTCTTATATCCCCATGCCATGTTTTTTCTTCCATCCCTTGGCATCATCTCAGTGATCTCCCGAAGCCTGGGAATCATGGTTAATATATGGGGAATCATCCCCTTTTATGGCCGCAAGATTTCAGGTTAGTGATATATTATCATTTACCCAGATATTATATGATTACAATATGCATATATATATATATACATACTGTACACACATGTATAATCCAACCCCAATATCCACTTGGATTTCCATATTTGCTCATATTTATATATATACCCTATAAGGTGCACGTATGCCCATCATCCGCATGATCCCGTCTCCTCATCCCTGAGGAGACGGTCAAACGGATTCGTGAATGGGTGGCGCTGGCGTCTTAACGCTGGAGATTTCAGCAACGATGGGAGAATGATGAAGTTTTTTGATTGGGATATGCCCCATTAATGGATATAATGCCCCAGTGTTTTTCCGGTTTATAAATCATATGATTTTGGGGGCCCCCCAGTGATGTTGGTTTATAAACCCCCATAACTATAGGTATTTGCGTACCATAAACCATAGTTATTGGAGTTATTTGCACCAACTTCGCTATCTTGGGGGCCACCACATTGTATGATTTTGGGGGATTTCCAGTTTTTGTCGGATTTAGGGAATATAATTAAGAAAGTGCCAGTTGACAAAATCCAAATCCGCTGACGCTCATAATTTGGTGAAACCCTTCTATTCCCATATGCGAACCATGGTGCTGGTATATAAAAACCTACAAAACTGGGGGATTTGGTTTTTAGGGCAAAGGTTAGTGTGCATATTCCGTACATGGAGCATCAGTTGGATTCTATTTATATTGGTGGTGCCTTTTTTGTTGCCAAGATTCGGGTAGCTCTCTGATATAGGGTTTGGAAACGGAAATGAGGGGGGATCATCCAGCAAATAGTGAATTGCACGACCCTTATTTGGTGTTTAATTGTTGGATACATTTGGATGGCTAAGATTTTGGAAATGGACTTACCCTCTGGTTATGTCAAAATAGCTATTGAAAATGACCATTGAAATAGTGGATTTTCCCATTAAAAATGGTGATTTTCCATAGCTATGTTAAATTACTAGAGGGTAGTGTTTGAATTGTTGGATACTACGAATTGTCTTGTTCTTGAGATTTGTGAATAATGGTCATTTGCCCAGACCCATTGGTCAGAACAAGAATGATAGTCGTCGGTGATATATGCTGGGATGAGGCAAAACTTATGATACCAGTTTTGACCATCGGAAGCGTTGAAAGCAAAACAAACTTGGATGCCCCTCAAACAGTTGAATGACATATGGATGTGTGTTAAGATTGGGTATTATACCCATAAAATAAACTTGGTATATTGTCTTTATGGTTTCGATAAAATAGGTTAAAATGTTTGTTTTAGTAGGAACCATGACAAAGAATGTTGATGTAGGAAACATGCGGCGTAGGGCGCACTGTGTCCCATAATTGTTGGATTTTGGGGTATCCATAACGACCATACGTCGGCCCTTCAGCGGTCTGTTGGCAACTGGTACATGGACAATACCCTTTGGTAAACTAACAGTTTGCTATTGAACATTTCCATAGAAATAGTTGATTTACCCATAAAACATGGTGGTTTTCCATACTTTTTTGTATGTTCACCAGGCCGGGTAAGGGCTCTGGGAAGGGCAAAACCTACTACGTGGCGAGTCCCAGGAGGAGCTCAGCCATAAAGCAAGAGCTCAGCGTGGTTAAGCGGATGTAACCCACTTTCCATCATGTTTAATAGGCTAACAATCTACAAATGGCTTACTTCCCATAGCTATGTTAGATCGCCTGAGGATATATCACAGAAGTATGTTGAATAATATGATGATATACAGAATATATGATGCCGGGACATAGCTCAGACTATACGTCAGAGGAATTCAAGCATATATGTTCAATTACGACAGTGAGATGTGTGCCAGAGGATATGTCTGAATGTATGTTAGGTTCTGGCAGTGAATATCTGAGAATTTATGTCATACAAATGTCTGAATATGTTCAGTTTTTATCCGAACATATGTCAGAATAATAGCATGATTATCTTTGTACCGTATACTCTAAGGGCTGGAGTAGAACCTAGAGTACCTTGTACTATTTCCTTATGAATAATATAGTCGTTTCCGCTTCTTGCAAATGAACCTCTAAGGACGGAAATCATTTCAAGGAAGGTACTCTCTTTTCCCGTGAAATGCCTGGGATGCCCAGTGAACAAGAGAGTAATGCACCAAAGTAAGCTAGAGTTGATGGTTTAACATAGAGAATAACAATATGGACCTTTCCATAGTCATACGGGATCACCAATAGCTGGATGGTTTATAGAAAATCCTAAAATAAAATGGCTGATTTGGAGGTACCCCCCATGACTTAGGAAACCACCATATGATTTTATCATCCTAGCACTATCCCCTCAAAGATAGCAAGATAAATCTTCAGAACCCAACCAACCAGTGGGCGGTTGTCTCCACATGTAGCCGGTGATGTTCCGTGCACTTGGCTTAGCGGCATTGGCTGACGGATGCACAATGATACGCACGTATTGTTATCATTGTTATCATCATAATTTCTGCTGTTTTCATCATAATGTGTATTATGTGTAATATATATATACTGTAGTTTGTTATTGTGGTAAACTCTATGATAACCCTACCATTTGGGGATGATAAATAATCTCTTCTCCCTAGTACTAAAACTCCACCAATTACAGTCATGAAAATAGGAATGGATTGGCAATTTTGTTTTTTTTGGTGGGTTACAATTGGATCCTTAATTGTGGTAATTGAGAATCAATCGGAGAACAGGATGGTGAAACAATGGGTTCAACCCCATACTAGTAAAAATGGATTGCCACCTGGAGGTTTTTATTAGGGTCCCATCTCACAAGTTTTACTTTTTATGTTTATTATTGCGGTTTTCACTGGAATATTAGGGGAAAGCTTCGAAATTCAGTTTTTGGCAATATGTTAAAGGAATTTAATCAAATTTGAATTCGATTTTTTTACTTTTATTATCAAGGTGTTCATTGGAATATTAGGAATACCTTGATAATAAAAGTAAACATACCCCCTAACAATAAAAATAGATCACCGTGTTTACCATTTGGGTGGGGTGTTTTAGTATTAGGGAGCAAAGATTCCCACCCATTTCTGGTGATATTCGGGATGGTTTATTATTGGGTTTGCCACACTACCTTCCACCAAAATGACTTAAGTTTGGTTCATATTTAAGTTTATAAACCCCATTTACTGTAGTAATATGCCCCATACAACCCACACATTAACCAAGTTATTTGCGTCAACCTAGCTATCATCAATCAGCTATAATCAGCTATATTTCCCATGAAATTCCTCCATTTTTCTTGGTCAAATCACAATGTTCCTATGGTTTTCTTAGGTATTTTTTCTTGGTTAAGTCATGGCAAATTATGTTTTTCCTATGTGTTTCCTATGTGTTTCCTATGGTTTTCCTATGTTTTTCTATGATTTTCCTATGTTATTTCTATGCTTTTCCTATGTTTTTTCTATGGTGTTCCTATGTCTTCCTATAGTGGTTCTATATTTTTCTATGGTTTTCCTATGTTTTTCTATGGTTTTCGTATGGTTATTCTTCGGTCAATTTCCATGGTTGGTTTATCCGGCCAGGTGGATTCCACGTTCCAAGAGGATGTGGCCAAAAGGTTCCATCGGAAGGGCCATCTCAAGGCGGATTTGGTGGGAAAATCCTGGGAAAATGTAGGAACATCTCGGGAAAATCATGGGAAAACATGGGAAAATCATGGGAAAATCATGGGAAAAGGTAGGAACATCATGGAAAAAGGTAGGAAAATCATTGCAAAATCATTGGAAGATGTAAAACGGTAGGAAAATCTTGGAAAAATCATGGGAAGATGTAGGAAAAAGATCTAAACATGAAAATCTATAGCTTGGAAAATCAACGACAGCCCTTGATTTTCTGAGTCGATGAACTATTTTAGTGTATGCAGTTTGCACAGCCAACAGTACCGACCTATCACCCATGCAAGTTTCAGTGTTTCTGCTTCCTGTCACCTTCCCTACGCACTCTTTGTGAGTTGGGTTCGCATCCAAAAACCAGTGTTTAAAGCCAGCACCGCTCACGTACACCAACTTGTCCAACCCTAGCATGATCTCAAGTAAATTGTCACAACTTGGCACTCAAGTTTGTGGTTGCGCAAATACATGCACATATATCTATACATATATATATATAGATATGATGTGTAGAATGTTATAAGATACATAGTAAGTAGATCACAGAAAAATATAGCAAGATCATCATCCAACAAAACTCATTCAACCAAATCATTACCCCCAACAAAACACGGTTTCATGCTTCCCTTCTGGCAATGAAAACGTGGCTAACTGAAAAAAATGCCGATTTATGGATAAATTTCTCATCTATAAACCTCCATCTATGGGATATATCCCATACCCTTTGGTAATCTAACATAACTATGGAAAATCACAATTTTTAATGGGTAAATCCACGAACTAAATGGCCATTTTCAATAGCCATGTGAATGTTTACCAGAGGGTATATCCATCATATATCCTAATAAATCCCATTGAATCCCATTGAATCACCATTGAATCACCATTGAATCACCATATGGGTAGGGTATCCCATACGTTTGATGCCACGGAAGGGTCCAACAAAAACGGATACGCAAGATGTGTGGATCCCATTGCATGCCAGGGGCGGTTCCTGGTGAAGCTGACGGATGAGATGTGGAACCAGTTGAAGGTGGGCAGGGTGCCACTTTTGGCATATGTTTGTTGTGGAAAATGCCGTGATTCGAGCAACCAATTGGACCAATTGGATTTGTTTAATGGGATTTTCAGAAGGATTTTCCTATGACAGAAAGTCGATTTAAGCATGAAAGATTGGAATGTAAAGCATGAACCTTTGGAATTCGACCATCAAGCATTGGATGTGATCAACATCCATCAAATATCAACGATGAGGAACTGGGATTTTTAGGCGTTTTTTTGAGAAGGAATGGGATACCTGGTTTCGTCTGAACAGTTGGCGATCATGAGTTTCTAGTTGGTGGTACCCAAAAATCAGGAAGAGGAGCGAAAGCCACTGTTCCAAGTGGGTATGGGTCAACACTGATTGGAAGTTTAGGGTATGTTAGCATTTTGAACGACTGTACTTGCTGGTTGAACACAGCATGTGGTTGTGTTTGAAAATTGGAGATAACCCCTAGTGACTTAGTGGCAATTTCGTAAGAGAACATGATGATTCACCAGGAGATTCCGGAGATACATTTTCAGACAAACCCTCAAAGCCACATTGGATTACAGGGGATTACATATATGGCTATGGATCAATACCTATACATACCATTTTTAGGGGGATGAACATCCATAAATCCCAGCTATTTTGATGTTCACCAGGGGTACAAGGTTTTGACACACTGCCATATTTTTATAACCCTATTAACTATAGTTATATCTACTATAAACCATAGTTAGGCAACTTATAAGGCAACTTAGCTATCTTGGGGGCCCCACATTGCATATATCATCATCCACTTTGGGAATCCTTGCCTATCAACCAACCGTTTTTTTTGTTCCATGGAATGGCATCAACCGGGCTTTGAACATCTGGGACGTACGTTGCTTCAGCGATGTGGATTTTGGATGGCCCCACATCAACTTTGGGATTGTTCTGAATTGTTGTTTATATATATATATATGTTTTGGTTTTTGTTCATTGGGATTGTTGGTTGGGATGATGTCCCTTATTTGAAAAAAAAACATTAAACATATACCTCTTTGTCCCATGGTTTGAGGTCACTTAACCCTTGAAATGGTCCCTTACCAACCCAAAAATCGTCACAACTTGAACTGCCAGGTACATATAAATATATATATATATAACAGATGGTATGCATACAGATAAGTTGCTGAACATAAGTCCAATAGCTATGCTTTATGATACCTAGAAAAACTATCGTTTTCATGTAGGTTAATTTATAAACCAACATTCACATCACCGGGGGGACCCACATTGTGCAGGTCTACATCCAGGCCTCATTCTCCTTGTCCAAGCTTCAGCTGACCAAAGGTGAGAGCTTGGGACAGCCCTGCATCGACGCCCGGGCTGCTGTCTAGATGTCAGATAGAATGCCAAAATGTTTGTCAGATAGTATATCAGTTGGTAGGTATTAACTCTAAGACAATAATATATATATATGTATACATCACTATAGAGATTTAAACGTGATGTGATTTGAAGATGTATTGAGTATATATATATATATGTGTGTATATCATATATCAAACATATTTGATTTGGATGTGTCTGGGCATGGGAGAAAGCGTCAATCCTGGGGATATCAAGCAACGCATGGTAAATTCGGATCTGGGAAACTCTTGGAAGAGTGGCGTCTCTACATGGGCCAGCGACCATTGAGGGTGCAGTTCCAGCTATAAGTGGCTATATATATAACCGTAGTTATAGTAGTTATATCCCAAATTATGGTGAACATCCCATGGTAAAAAACCCGTAAAAAAAAACATGTTGTATCAGATCTTATCCCATGATGTACCCATATATGTTGGAAAAAAACACAGCAATAAACCAGAACACCCGGCCTGGTAAACATACAAAAAACTATTGAACATCACCATGTCTAATGGGTATATCAACTATTTCTATGGCAATTTTCACTAGCTTTTTGTATGTTTACCAGGCCGGGTAAGCCCAAGTGCACTATCCACTGTTGGTCCCCGCGGGGTCTCACCGAACCGGGCGAAGCTCAGGAAGTGTTGCTGCTCCCCGAAGCAAGAGAGTTGTACGCAGAAAAAAGGCCTGAAACCTGGCGACTCAACAGTTCTCTTAACATTAACTGGTTAAGAAAACCTTCGTTTCCAGTGATAAACCAGTTATCAATGTGATATCCAAGTGACATATATAAACCATTATATATCATGATATATCCCATAACATTTAGAACTGTAGACCCACTTCAATAAAACCATTAAACCTACTACAATGTATATAACACTATGTATATATATATACATATATATATATATCATATATATGTGGGTTTCTTTAACATATATAACATGTATAAACCCACTTAAGTGATATACATATATATATAGAAGGTGATATGCAACTAACTAGTTTCCAGGTGTTTTTTTCTTTCAACGGCCATAGAAACGTATGGGAGCTGTGGGGCCCCCAAGATATGTAGCGTTCAGTTGAGATACAAGTGGCAAAACACTATGGTTTATGGTAGATATAACGAACTAGTTAATGGGGTTTATGAACCAACTTATAATTTGGGGGCACCATCCTGCAGGGATAATGATTTGATAACCCAGTGGATCTTAGGGGTACTGTATCGTATTTTCAGACAAGCCCATGTGTAAATTATGTTTAATTTTGTAAGCTCAATGATAAATCCCCAGCTTTTGATGATTACTACCCATGTTTGGTAAAATTGGGGATGGTTAATTCTTGGGTTCGCCACATTTATGATATATGAGGTTGATTCAAGTTGAACGTTGTTTGATGATGTCTTATTGTAAAACATGTTCGTTGTCATGTTTGGCCAGGGGGTATCAACTCTTTCATCATTTTGGGCGTTTCCATGGCCGCTCTTGCTGGGTCATCTGGGTCATCCGTCCACCCAATGCGGCGTTGTTGATTGGTTCTAATGACTTGCTAGGTATGGGTCAAATACCCAATGAGCATCAAGTCACAGCTTGGCCATTCTGATTTTCGGGATGTGAACCACTTGCACAAATCATGAAACTTAGTAACTGGTTGATAACCCTGGTGAATAGTACTTAGTAAGTCCTCTAACTAGTGTTATTCCACTTACAAGTGAATGAACTAACTCCACTTACTAAGCAGTTATCAGGTCATAACCCCGTTGGACATGGGAAAACTCTGAAAAATCAGGACCTCCTAAGCAGGATACTCTCCAGTACACTAACATGGCTATTGAAAATGGGCCCTTCATAGATGATTTACCGATCAAAAATGATGATTTTCCATCGTTGTGTTAGTTTACCAGATGAGAACACAATCTGAATCCCTGAGCAACAAGCTAAATTCATACGTTGATTTAGTTTTCACGAGCTTCTTGTGCACAGTTTTTGACTTTGTGACCCTGTTTGAACATACTAAGTCAGTGGAAATGATGTATCTTGACCATGTAAGAATTGCAAATGGGTAATCCACACTGACTTGGAGGGAAATGGATAGATACGGATCCCCAGTCTCCTGTCTCCAGGCTACAACCGGTTGAAGCCCAGTTTAATTCACTCGTTCTGAAACAAATCCTGTGGGAAGGTTAAATCTTCCCAGTGTCATTGCCTAAATTCATTGGCTGAACATTGGCTGAATTGGACTTGTCACTGATTCACATTGATTCACACAGATATAAACTAGCCTTAATCCCAAATATCATCCAAACTAAGACAATAGACCAAAGGATAATTAGGAATATTAGAGAATTCATTCATTGATGATTAAATAGACTTTAATCAATGTGAATTCCAGGATCCTAAAATGGAGGTACTGTACCATATAAGGCCATATGAATTGTGGGGATATTCCCTTACATAGGCTTCTAAAATAGGCCTTATATATGGAATCGGTACCTCCAATCAATCGGCCCCTGGAATGGCCATTGATTTAATCCCAAACATCATTCAAACTATGTCATGAAGATGCCCTGATTCATTCCAAGGACCTGGCGGCTGGCGCCACAGGCGCAGGCCATGCGGCTACGAGGGCTGCGGCTGCGCCGCTCCAGGCCAGCTGCGATCAGGCCTTGACCGGTGACCGGTGAGCGGTAAGCATGAAGAATGGCGAGATGTGGTGTGTTCACCATCAGAAGTGGTGATTTAACCCATATATAGGGATTTAATTAAACACAATTCTGGCTGGTGGTTTGGAACATGAATTTTATGACTTTCCATTCAGTTGGGAATAAGAATTCCAACTGCTGACGAACTCATATTTTTTCAGAGGGGTGGCTCAAAACCACCAACCAGAATTTGTGATTGAATCAGGAATTGGGATGATTTGTCTGACAACCACTTGTTTTTTTAAAATCAAAAATTGGTGGATGCAACCATCAAACATGTGATGGGGAAATGATGCTCAGCTATGTTTTTTTTAGGTACGATATTTTCAAACGTGGGTCAAAATCCTCAAGTTTGGCAAAACAGACTAGTAAAGGCCAGTGTAATGCTTGCATTTGTTTCCATTCTGACTGGGATATGACACTAAGCAGCTTAGATTTATCACATCCTTCTGCTTGGACGCACAGCCGAAGAAACAGAATGGCATACCCGGCCTGGTTATGTCAAAATAGCTATTGAAAATGGCCATTTATAGTGGATTTACCCATTGAAAATGGTGGATCTTTCCATAGTTATGTAACAAATTACCAGAGGGTAGTGGAAGAATATCTCCACTGACATCGCGCGGGCCAAAATGCTGCACGTCGCTGGTTGCATTCGAGCGCAGAACTTGAATACCAGCGTGGAGGCATATCATTATGTTGCTGCCGCAGTATCCTCAATGGGCGGTTCATATGTAGCCATTTGCCGGCTAGGCTGTAGAACTTTGTCATGTGCGCATGGGTCCACACTAAACTACGGGAATTGGTAGGTATCAATGCTTATTCCCCTATTCATCAGGAAAAATGATAGGTATATACCAATCCCCAAATCACTAGTCGATGGTCTATCTGGCAATATGACCTACATGCCTGCAAATCAACCATGTATGGCAGGCCGGGTTAACGGGAAAGAACATATGGGAAACCTGGATTGTTGAACACGTGTCAATCCCTGAGCAAGGACCAAAGGACATGTATTGGATTTTCTATTGGACTTCGTGCTCTCGCAATCTCTCTCAAATGCTTACATTTAAACTGGCTGGAATTGTAATTGTCTGTACATGACCTGACTCTTGGGAGCAAATGTTGGCAAACAACTACATATGGATGATTACAATATGACATATATATATATACAATTATTACACATGTATGTATAAGTATAATATATATATATATCATACTATACCCATCCTGGTTGGCATAGGGATGATTCGGGAAAGACTGGAATTCAAAAACAAAGCCATCAATCATTGGCCCATTCATCCCGTACTGGCCCTCTGACTTGGCCTTAAATTTTGGTGCTTGGAAGTCCACAACAGTCATACTGGCTATATGGTCAACCTGTCACTATCTTTGTTTGCCTTTTTATTCCTGTTTGTCTTTTTGGCTAACAGATCTTATGATAGTTTGTCAGATATTTGCAGATGTTTGCATGTATGTTGCAGTAGAATTCTCCAAAATGAAGAGACTAATTACCTTCTCGCAACAAACATAGGGCCACAGTAGAACCACTCATTGTTCAACACATTATCCATCGAAGGTTGTTACATCGTCGGTCGCGAGTTTTGATTTGTTGAACTATCCATATCTCTGGTAAAAATCCCAACTTCTTCATATACCCTCTGGTAAACAGCCACATAACTATGGAAAATCACCATGTTTAATGGGTAAATCATCCATAAATGACAATTTTCAGTAGCTTTTTGTATGTTTACCAGAGGGTAACCCCCAAATTTCACTTATGAAAATTGTTGGTGAAATCCCGATTTGGCGGTTTATGACATCTACATTCCCGGTTGAATGGTGGTTTCAAACATGAATTATATGTTCCATTTCATATAATATATGGGATGTCATCCTTCCCATTGACTCACATTTTTCAAGATGGTTAAAACCAACCAGTATATTTAAATGCCCATTTACTTCGTGGACTTCCCAACTTGCCATGTTTGATGACACCGGGTAAAGGTGTATACATTCATGATCTGTGAGGGATATCTGGGACATTCACGGAGGCTTCAAAGCGGCCAGCTGACGATGCGGCGACGGCAAGCCGCGGCAAACGGGCCAAGGTGAGCGCTGGCGGGCAGACGTGCCTCAGCCGCCTCAGATGCAGAAAATGTGGAAATGTGGTTAAAACAGGAATAAACCATCCCATGTTTGATGGTATATACCACCCATTTATATATTGTGTTTTGGGTTATGGTTATTGTTTTAACCACATTAATGTGTACATGTATATAATTATATATTATATATATATGCGTACACATAATGAATTTTGATTCTGATGATTTTTGCTGTGTGATGGTGATGAGTGATGATGAGTGGTGATGAGTGATGTTGAGTGATGATGAGTGATGGTGTTGGTGATGGTCAGTGATGGTGATGATGAGTGATGACTTCATGGGGACTTGATGGGACTAGACTATCCTGACCAATCCCTGTGGATCCAGCCGAAACCTTCTGAGGAACTATTTGGGGTATGGTTTAAGTTTATGGGGTTAAGTACCGTCTCAGAAGGTACTGGAAATGGTGATATAATGGTGATTCGAATGGGAGAGAATGCAAATTCAATGGGAATTGAACAGAGGCTTTGCGGGGACTTAACCAACGCCACCTGACCCTTGACACTACTTAGCCAATGCCTGAACGGCTGACTTTTACTGACAACCGTAGACCTTCAGAAAGATCATAGGTAGCATCCACAAAAATTCAGGTCCGTTGGGAGGTGTCCTAAGTCATGAGGTTTCCCCAAAAAATCATCCAAGTCAAACATTTTAGTACAAAAACCTATATCACAGAATTGGATGACGGGAAAATTTACAGGAAACCCCTATATTTGATGGTAAAAACCATGGTTTCCTGTAGATTTTCCCTTAAACCAATGCATTGACTATGGTGACTTGGGGGATCCTTTTAAGACAACCCCATAGCTGACCGGCAGCTGGTCCCAGGACAGATCCGGAGGCCTACGACGCCTATGAAGTCCGTGAGGGACCAAAGGGCCTGGAGGAAGCGAGAGATGCCCTGAAGGCTGCGATGCGTGAAGCGTGTGAAGCGGGTGCAGCTTGGCCGAAGTTGGGATTTTGTGGGTTCAGATAGGAATATCATGAGAATATAGTGATGGGAGTTATAATATAGCATAATTGTAATGTCTAATGGGAACGTAATGTGATGTATTAAAAAAAGTCAACCAACTCCCCCAAAGTTCGATGACCGATATGGGTTTGTCTTAAAATCGGCGACCTCCAAAATGGCAATGCTTAATGGCATAACAATAAGCCGTTGGAATCCATTATATTTGCTGGTATTTGGGGGTACCCAATTTTAAGACAAACCCATATAATCTACCAATATTGACTTACTGCCACTAGTGGGTTCACTTGTTGATGGGTTGGTGGTTTCCAGTAGCTGTATTTTTGCGAGCCTACCTGGGCTGATGATTCAACTTGATGGCTTGAAGCCACCAACGGCGGATCTTCTGGGAAACATGGAGGCTGAAACTCCAATTCTGGGACATGACTGGAGTGTATCGCATTTCTGGCATTCTATGATTACACGTGATTAATTAAACCATATTATATAAATTTATATAATTGTCAAAAGTTGGATTACCCATATTAGGCAATGGTCAATGGTTTAGCTATCCAGTCGAAGCAATCCCTGATGGTGTGATGACCACAGCCATGAATCCCATTAAACTTGAGCATGGGATGCAACGCGCCCAACGCGCCGAGGAGAAGAAAGGCCGGGGAGATCTTGGTACAGTTGGCTGGAAATGGGATGCGTTCTCTGTACAGAACCGAAAGTTCACAAATGGAATATGATCATTAGAGGATTACCGACAGTTCATTTACAAATGGAGTATCTTTGGGCGGAAAATCATGACTATGTGCAATAGGAATGAGTCATCTTCATCATGAAGACTACCTTGAATATGTACAATAGATTTGTATTATTTACAAATTCATAGGAATGAATATCTTCGATATGTACAAGATATTCCCCAATCTTCATAGGAATGAATCATGCATCTGTTTACTTTGAATGACGACCTTTCAATGACTGGCCATCACCACAAGGTGAGGCCCCCCTGCTGCGCGTTCCAGCGTTCCAGGACAGCGTGCACGCTGTGAAGCGCTTCGGTGGTTGAAAGGCCGGCCCAGTGAGTTCATCTGCGGGTGGTGGTGAGATCTGATTTCAGGGTGGTTTTCATGGGGATTTCATTGGGATTGCCTATTCAATAACTGATGATTAGTGATCAATGATTAGTGATCAATAACTGATGACTATACTTGACTATGATTAGTGATTAAATGGTGATTCATAACTGATGATTAAATGGACTTGAATGGATATTTCATGGTGAGTTTATGCTATTTCACAGGAATGTATGAAATTTCACAGAGATTGTGTGAAACCCAATGGCTGAATGCGGGCATTCCAATGCCATAAATGAACCCATTTTCGAGATGGTTTACCAGATTAGTCACTTCCAAAATAAACAAAAAAGTATGTTAATTAGTTATCACCATCTTATACGTTAGAAATACAATAGAAATGCATAGGATATGAAATCCGTCCGGCCATTTGCTTTTTGGCATGGGTCAAGACCTATAATTTTCATTGATCTGATGTTCCATATTTTTTTTGGGGGGATGAACATTGAACATCCATACAGTTATGTTTTTTTTTTTTACCAGTTGTAAGTCAATCAACACAAAACCCCATGTATGGATATTTATGGAATTATAACCACATGAAAATAACCATGTCTGCTTGGTGGTTTGGAACATGTTTAACTTTTTCCATATATTGGGAATAAGAATTCCAACTGACTTTTATATTTTTCAGAGGGGTACAGTAGGTATACCACCAACCAGATATTGTATTTCATATTCCAATCCATTTTCCAAAATGTTTGATGTTAATTATATATCCACATATAATATATATATATATAATATATATATATATCCATTACCTTCTGATATTTTCAGATAACCACATTAAAATAGCAATTTATATAGCCATTTATAAGTGATATTTCGGGCCTTATCTGTAAATCCCAAGCTTCGGCACCAAGATATTCACCAGGATTTCAACTTCAACGCGATGTGGGAATTGCTACGTTTAAATCTTTCGCCGAAAACCAGAGGCTATTGGTACATATGGGTGACAACTTGAAACTCATTGGAGATTCATGTTTTTTTTGATTTTGAGTCAAAAAGATATCAAGAAGTTCTTGTCGATTTTGAGAAGCATATTCAATGCAGGTTGCTTTGTGTCAACCCCTGATGTTTTGCTAGCAGGGCACCATTTAAGTAGCAGACGGAGGTAACCCGCTACCCCGCCGTAATTGTATAATCAATGAGGGTTTATGAATCCGAGGGTGGCATTGAGCAGTTTTGGTTTGCCTCAAAATATAGGCACCCCCAATGCCAACTATGTATCATCATGTTCCCTATGAAAATGAGCATGTGGGGGTATACCCCGGTTTCATTCATTTTCAGACAAATCCAGATATCATATTATTGGTTCTTGAAATATTATGTTACCATCTGGTTATATAACATAGCCATGGAAAATCCCTTATAAATGGAGGTTTTAATGGGAAAATCATCAATAAATGGGCCATGGCTTCCATGGCTATGTTAAATAGCCAGAGGGTATATTCCAATCAATCCCCAATAAATCACCATATTAGTGATCAGTGAGATCACCCTTCAACTGTTGCTTACGTCTCCGTATCCAACTTGCAGCCGCCTAACTCATCACCAAAAGTTCTTCTACATGATCCAATGCGTCCCCATTCAATTGCCATGTCATGTGTGTATATATATATATATATGTATAGATATGGATATATTATAACGAGCTCACTGCGACCGAGCCCTGGGAATCATGGTTAATACAGTAAGGGAAATTATCCCAATATGGTCTTATTTCAGGTTTTGGAAGATGTATTGGAATACGAAATACAATATACCCTCTGTTTATTTAACATAGCCATGGAAGCCATGGCCCATAGAAATAGATGGTTTACCTATTAATAGCATGGTGATTTTCCATGGCGAACTGTTAAATAACCAGATGGTAATATAATCAGCTACTTTCCAATGAATGTTGCTTGAAAACCCACTGTTGTTGCTTAAATCCCAAATTGTGTTGGTCAGATCCCTTTTTCGATTGTTAAATTACATTTGTTTGTTGCTCAACCCCCCACGAAGTCATTAAACAAACCCAAGCTATCCTCATCGTGAAGTACCCAAATCCACATTAAATCCTCATCATTGTTATATTTCATTTGGGCTAATCAATTCCTTTTAGATTCGCATAAAATCCCCATTCAGTGCCTCTTATATGTCCATTATATTCCAATATAATAAGTTAAAATGTCATTTTTGCCGATTAAATCATAGCCAGTGCCTAACGACTTAGCTATCAGTCAGCTCTAACTTCCATGAAATCACAATTTTCCTTGGTTAAGTCACCATTTTCCTATGGCTTCCTTAGCGATTAAACAGGGGGCCTGACCTTGCAGGGTGTTCCCTCCATCTTTTTTTGTGAGGCCTGGAGCAGCGAAAGGTGAGCGCTCGCGAGCTGGCACAGACCAAGATCGGCCTTGTTGCCACTTGGAGGGACTGGTGGCTGTGACTTGTTGCTGGTGGATTGGCAATTGAAAATCCCCTTTTAATCTGGGCAAATTTGTAGTGACTCTTGACTGGAATCATGGGAATTGTAAGGGGAATCATGCCCACATGTCCTTATTTCAAGTTAGTGAACTATGATGATTTACCCAGATATATGATGATAAAGGAAGGTTTGTGTGTTAAAGTCATCGACCTCAATGAGTGATTTGCTGATCCTGGATTTGCTGAAGTCGATCGACCAGATTGGCAGATTTTCCCATGATGGAAAACCCACTTGAAATTGGGAATCATTTTCTGGGAATATGTTCGGCCTTTTTGTTGGTTCGGTAAGCAAATCTTAGAAATAATTTGAAATAATGAAAGGTTGGTATGAGCAATAACCAAAAACATGGCTCGTTCTACCAAAATTATGGGGGTATGAGATTTTTACTAAATTCATTATGGATTCTGACATGATCAATCATCTTGGACCAACATGAGTTGTTTAAAAAAAAATAATGAGATGGTTTTGGATGTGATTCAGTGTTTTTTTTACGGCAAATCAATTGGTATTGTGCTGGTTTTCGGGTGTACCTAAATCATCCTTACATGAGGATTCAATCATCCTCTATAGGGAAATAAATGTTGGTGCAATGGAAATATAATGGGTATTTCATCAGGATGTAATAGGATATATGGCCAACACATATGATATGTGATGGTTTGGAAAATTGAGGATTTAGTCCTGAAATTGCCATTTGCACCGTGAAGATATGTCGTCCAGCGCTGGCAGATAACATGTCAGATAGAATGCCAGGCAAAATGTCACAATATATCACAGATAGATGCAGATAAAATGTCAGATAAATTGTTTTAGTATGCGTCAAAGTTATGTCAGATAAATTGTCACTTGGTGGGGATCACCGAAAAATAAAGCAGTTTTTGTTTATCATCAACCAGCACTATGGCATTTTTTGACCGTGGTTCGTGGTTCAAGCACCAACCGTTGCACCAACCTCCAGGTGAATGAGTGGCGCCAGGTCTTTAATCGGGTCTTCAAAGACCAAGCATCGAAGGAAAGGGCCCATGACCTGCTGCTTGGTGAAACGGTGAACCGAGCGCCAGGTCATGGGGGAAGAGCTTGGGGATGGGATAGCTATAGAAATTCACCATGCTATTCATAGGTAAACCATCTATTTCGGCTGGGCCATTTTCCATAGTTATGTGAATGTTTACCAGAGGGTAGAATTTGTAATGATTTGTATAATTAATTTATACATTGGTACGAGATTGGAGATGATTGTTTTGGGAACGGAGAACGTACGTATTACAGGGTTGGATGTGTTGGCGGAGGCCATGATGGCAAGTCCAAGATGAGATTGGCCATGATGGCATTACTTTGTTCTAAAGTTATCGGGTCATATCATCCAATCAATGGCCCTGAAAGAGGTACCACCTAAATTGGAAGCATTGTACCTTATACACCAATGATATACCCATTTCCATAGCCCTCACATAGACTATCATAGACTTTACACCCTCTGGTAAACTTTCACATAGCTATGGAAAATCACCATGCTATTCATGGGCAAATCCACTATTTCTATGGCCATTTTCCATAGCTGTGTGAATGTTTACCAGACCGGGTAGTCATGGTAGCTACCTCCCATAAATCGCTTCTTGAAATGGTCACTGATCCAATGTTTTTGTACGTTTTGTCATGGCTCTGGCATGACAATTGCGAAAGAGTCACTGAAATTGATTTGGTCAAAGCAATTGACCATTCCCCCAACATAGACCCTGCCTTTTTGGGGGGGTTGAAAGATTGTTTTCTTCTTAAGTTGCCATCCCAAAGCCACCAACAGATGCTGGTTCCCTCGTAGTTTCCAGCTGTCCAAGAGTCCGGCATCTGGGGATAGCAATAAATCCCCAATGATTTCGACCATAAAATATATCCATTTGTATTCAGACATACCCCCTGGTTATTTAACATAGCCATGGAAAATCACCACGCTATTAATAGGTAAACCATCTATAAATGGGCCATGTTTCACGGCTATGTTAAATAACCAAAGGGTATAGTGTATTTCATATTCCAGTCCATATTCCAAAATGTTTGATGTGATATATAATTATATCCATCACCCTCTGATAATTTTAGATAACTATGGAAAATCACCATGTTTAGTAGGGCATTGTTTGTCCAGGTTCCGTAGCTGTAAAATATTTTTCCGGAGGGTCATGCCGATGACTATCACCAGTTTCTTGGTTATGTTTGTTAAACTTTATGCCAATAAGTTCCAACAATATATAAAATCAGAGCGTATATAATAACAACAACAGTAGTCATAAAATAACATATGTATATATAAGTACATCATCATCATCATCATCATCATCATCGTCATCATAAAATCCAATAAGACCCCATTGAATCATCACACACACACACCCTTTAAAAACAAAAAAAACTTATATTTTTGTTGCTGAAAGCCCCACAGCCATGCCATGATGTTCCCACAAAACAAACACAATGAACATTCCAACATCCCAGGCTTTCTTCTTGGAGGAAGCTGTGGCTGGAAGCCAAGGCCCTGAACTTTGCCAGCTGACCGCCTGATAGCGCCTGATAGCCTCACAGTGGCCTCGTGATGCCGGCCTGGTGCCCTGGAAAGTATTGGATCCATGGGGAAAATTCTGAGAAACCGTGGCAGTTATAGCCCTCAACAGTTCTAACATGTTCTAACTAGCTTATAACTGGCTTATTTCATGATACATTACCCAAAAAAAAGTTTCAGAAGCTCTCATCCCATTTACAGCTCTAAATGGTGCCATAACTCACGAACTGAAGATTTCAATCCCATCAGTAAACAGGGTTGAAACCATGAACCTCCCAGACAGGCTGGGTTGTGACAACAAGGTGCATGGTTCACGAATTCTCCGGGTTTTGTTTTAGTTTATGTTGATTTTGAGGGAGAATGATATAATGATGATCAACCGCTGGACTTTGTCAGTAGCTCAATCTTTGGACGAAGTAAACTAGTAGATGAAGTTGGAATGGGTCAAAGACATACCCCAACATTTCGCTGATGAAACACCATATGTACCACTTGCAGGATCTTACCACCTAGTAAGCGGTTACTAACGATAGTTATGCATAACCGATTTACCCATTGATGGGTGGGACAAGCAATTTAGGGGACTTACTAACCAGGGTTACTAGGCCTTGTGGAATCCTCCAAGCAGGGTAGGAGGGTTTGGGCTAATTTCGATCGTCTTTTGGCATCAGAAAGCTAAGGATTTTCCCGACCACATCTGGTTGGTGGTTTGGAACATGACTTTTATTTTCCATAATATATATATATGGGATAATCCTTCCCATTGACTTTCATATTTTTCAAGATGGTTATTGCACCACCAACCAGACATGATAGCCTATACCATGATAGCTTTTACCATGTTGCACGCCTTTGGTTTCAACCGATGATGTTTACGCATCATTAGAACCGAGTGGATCCCCAGCAATTCTTTGTCACTTCAAGTGTACCTTAAACATTGCTATGCGTGAGCGGTGTAAACCTTGGATTATCTCTCTGGGCAAATTATAACGACCTCACTGCGACCTCACTGGAATAGTGGTTAGTAAGGGAAATCATCCCAAAATGGCCTTAATTCAGGTCAGTGAATTATTATAATTTGCCCAGATCTCTGGTAAACTAACATTTTGCAATGGAAAATCACCATGCTATTAATGGGAAAATCTACTATTTCTATGGCAATGTTCAATAGCTATGTAACAAATTACCAGGCCGGGTAAATCTTCCTGTGCCAAGTCGATGTGTGGCTGTACCATGAGCGCCAGTGGTTGCGAGCGAGCGACATCGGCCGGCGAAGATTTCAGGGCTTTTCAAAGTCAGTGAATTCAGCTGAGTTTGTTGAAGAACACACACACACATGCGGGTGATTTGGGTGGGTCTGAAAACGGAGTATACCGAAAAATCATGCCATCTAATGAGCAACATGATGCTCAACCATGAAATTTGAAGGCCCCCTATTTCAGACTACCCCATGTTGCTGAAGAATAGAATAGAAATGATATGACATGATGTTTTTTTTGTTGATGCGCATGTACTTTGAGTATGTGTCAGCAACATCAGGGGAACACTTGATATGGGAAGTTTTGAGTATCCAGTTTCGACCCACAGCCATTTATTCGTATCAGAAGTCAGTGGTGCTGTGTTGACTTACTCAGCTATTTTGTATAACTTTGCCGTGTGCATTGTTTCTGTTGGACTGGATGGATTCGCTCAGAGTGTTTCACATCAGATCTGCACAAATTTTAGCGAGGACAAACGAGGCAACGAGGTGGGTAAGTCAGATTTAACGAGGTAAAGCTTAATTCGGTTCTGTGAATTAGCCAACTCGACGAGGTAGCCTTGTATTGGTTTGTTGCATGTTTGGACTGGGTTAGAAAAACTTTTGGGGAGCCACAAAGTTTGATTTTCCGTCACTAGGAAAGAAACTTTTGCGGTGTAGGAAAGTTTTTTGAATGCATTCTACCCGAGCTTGCTTTGCTTTCATCACTGTGAGCATGAAAGAGCTGCAAAGAAAACTATTTTTAGAAAAATCATTGTACGATGATTTTTTGGGGGGTCAAGCTAAAAGGAAATCATTGTATGAAGCGCAAGCAGCCGGACGAGGAGGAAAAGGAACGCAGGCAAGCCCGATCCCCAAACTAAACTTTTCAGTGGCGAAAGAGTTTTTTGTTCGCTTGGCTTGGGCCACCCCACAACCTTAAACTTTAAACCCCTACTCAGAAATGACGAGGGGAAGTCTTCTGTATTGAACATGGGAACTAGCGAGGCGTCCCGTTGTCACACGAGGTAACCCCAAAATAAACTTTTAAGAGGGGGAAAAGTTTTTCTGTCGCTTGGTTTGGGCCACACCACAACCTGAAACCTTCATTCCTTATTGAGAAATAACGAGGACAAGCCTTATTTCCATCATGCGAATTAGCGATGCGAGGCGTTAAAACTGGGGAACGAAATAGCACACGAGGGAGACGAGGTAAGAAATAAAGTAATTTTGGCAGATCAGATTCCAGATGGAAACAATCCCCAAACTGCCATAAACAATCCCAGAATAAACTAACAAAGTGGATGCACTGGTTTTACTTGGGTAGTGCAATGATTGGAGAACAAGTTGCATCATGTTTTGATGGATTTCAATCATATCACCGTGAATGTTAGGCGTGACACCCAAGATTCAGGTAGCACATTGTAGGCAAAATCCACCTCCAACAAATTGAGGACGTTCCGAAAACTGTGGAGTATCCACATCAACCGGTGATCTGGTGCTTGGATCCTGTGGATCTTGGAAATGTCTGGGACTTTCTCAAAATCAGACTAGCTGGATATTTGGGGGATATAGGCCCCATATGTTGAGAGGCCTGGATATACATGGTATAGCTTTTTGGTATCCATAAGTTGGTGCACTGTCTAATGATTTTTTCTTTGTGACATCGATGTTCCCACTGCTGTAGCTGTTGGTGAGTTCGGTGTGTGCGTTTTACCGGGACTAGGCACAAGACGTCTCATTCTGCATGGTCCAAACACCTGTGCATTTGCCCGCTTGGCAGAGGTTCATCGCTGGGCCACTCACATGTCCATCGCCGAGGTTTACAGTTTACCTCATTGATCTCTAGAGTCCATTTGATATACCATCCGGCGTTGTAAACATGGTTTGCTGGAAAATCATTCATTTAGTTCCATGATTTCATATGATTTCCCAGCTACAAATGTTTATTTACAGTGGATGTCCCATATGTTTCCTACGTTTTTCCTATACTTTTTCCCTTGTAAAATGTTCATGGAACTCACCGGAGGCTACCAAGGATTCGATCCTAAACTTATCCTTCTCGCCATTCAAAGTGCCCTGGTTGATTGCTTTATAATGTGGTTAAAACAATGTCGTAAACCACCCCATGTTTGATGGTTTATACCACCCATAAAAATGGTGATGACTGGGGGATGGTTTATTATTGTTTTACCCACATTAGGGGCTTATACTAGCCAATTGAGTGGGGATTATGATAAGCCATAGGAAACCTAGAAAACAGAACTAGTATTTCATGAGATGGGACGTATTTTGAATGGCTCAACTACAGTTGCAGTTGCCACACCTAGTTAACCTATAGACCAACTTAGCTAATTACGGGGCGTCACCTTGTATGGACGTTCACTCTTGAAATGTTGGAAAACCAAAGGTTTTGACCCATGCCCATGGCCCATGGCCCTTGCGCACCTTTGTGGACTTCAAAGAGTGGATCATGCGTCCATAGTGGGTAAATGTCTTCCTTTGGGGTGTATGTTTCACACAACCATAAATATATGCAAACCAGAATGTTTTCCGGAAAGGAAACAAGTCCACTGGCTCACTTGAAGATCACCCAAATGTCGGGCAAAACGCCAACAGTTGTCCCATTTTTGTTCACCATGCAGGTTGTTTCAGGATGATCATGGATGGACTTAAAAACCTGTAGCGATGAAGTTTGGTTCCGAGCCGGTCAAGTTGGCACGGGATTTGCTTGCAGCACTAATGCAAAAGCGTCTGTTGTTGAATTTCTGCAATCAGAAAGGTGATGAAAGGTGGATCAATCGCACAGATTCCTTCAGGAGTCACATGCCTTTGGCAGATGGAACATGAGTTTTGAACATTAGTAGAAGATTAGTAGGAAATTATACCCTCTGGTAAACTAACATAGCTATGGAAAATCACCATTTTCAATGGGTAAATCCACTATTTCTATGTCCATTTTCAATAGCTATGTAACAGATTACCAGGCCGGGTATAGTTTATGGTTTCACGAATCTAGATGATTCCGCGATCCAGAAGAAAAATTAGATTCGGTGTTTCCGGTGTGGTTTTGGAAAGGAGAAACCTCCTTTTTGTCCATTGTTGATTTTGTTTAATAGAAACAGATTAATCATCCAATACCTGGATTGAATGAGGGTCAAACTAGTGATGTTTGATGTTCTTTGGTTTTTCATGTTTTTGTGTTTATGTTTTTCTATTTTCCAACGCTAGTGACTAGCAAATGGAATCCCATTGAACCAGCAAATCGGAACAGATGACGTGAAGATATGAAGGCTTTTGGGCACTGTCATTCTGTTTGGAAACACATCCATCAATTGAGACCTCGAACAACAGGAGCAGTTGGGAGGTTGCAGGGATTTCTACCAAGAAAGTCCGCCCTTACTGGTTGGCCGTTTTTTTTGTGGCACCACACATGGTTTACGCCCACATGACGTGTCTTCATCTCAAGAAGACCTGGCTTAAGGGCAGCAATAAGTAGGATTAGAGCAACACATGTGCCACGCTCGAAAGATGTCGAAAGTTAGATTAGATTAGATTAACATGTTTTTCTGGTTGATGGTCATCAATCCATGTTCATAGATGTTCATGATTCATAGGTGTTGTTCAGCCCTTGTATGTTTGGATTTCCACCACATGGATAGGATATCATACCACATCAATCCCAGGAGGCAAAAAGCAGTTGCCACTCACGATGATTCCCCTCCATGAATTGCAGTAAATTGCATTTAGTTAAATTGAATTGCACATACTGGAGTCACGAAGAGTGACAACTCCGCGCCACTGCGCGGTACATAGGCGGTTTGAACATGTTTGAACCCATTTTGTTTATACCCGCACGATGAATGTGGGTGGGCACCTTCTATGCCAACATATGCCAAGAAAATGACCCACATGTTTGTGAATAGATTATAAAGGGATAGAGCATTTGGGGAAGAGGTCTTTCTCAGGTCAGCCATCACAGTCTGTGATTCTGGCTCCCATCTCAGATCGCCATGGCCATGCACAGCTATGGGTGACGCGTGGGGGCCATGGTGCTGGTGGTTTTTGCGGGAGACTTGATGGACCCGATGACATGTAGTGACCTACCCTCTGGTTATGACTAACAGTTCGCCATGGAAAGATCCACCATGCTATTAATAGGTAAACCATCTATTTCTATGGACCATTCTCCATGGCTATGTTAAATTACCAGAGGGTATGTTTGTAGAGGTATGTATATCGCCTTTATTCATTCTCCAAAATGTGTGTTCTATGTTCCATGGCTACTGCACAGTTTCAGAGAAACTTAAGCCTTGAGCGGTAGCTGAGTTGAGGATGTTGAGGTAACTGTTAATAATTAATAGAGGATGTATTGAACTAGTGGGTTTACAAACCAAGCATATCTAGTGTGCTTGTCAAAACCAAACAAATATGTATATATATATATACTAGTATATTATTTCATCGACAATGCTCAGTACCCACCCGGTACACCTTGCTGATATGTTTGATGATCTTGTTGGCTCTCTGGGTTTCGAAAATAATGGATGGAAAATGCGTACCCAAATTTGAGTGGTTGCAAACGAAAAGGTAGGAGGTCTCTTTGATATAGTAAGCAGGAAACGGTTGGTGATTTGTAGACTGGGAAAAGCTATGAAAAACTTGTTGTTATAACTATCCGTATATACTGCAATCTGGACATGTTGATACAAACGGTTCTACTGTTTCTTTTTGCCGTTTGATCCATTGCGATAGTCTCTCTATCAACCAACCAGCAGCACCAATCAATAGGTTTTGACTAGTTCCTATGTGATTTATGTTTGAATCAGGCTCAGACTCCTACACCGCCTTTGACGAAGGTCCACTTTCGTTACGCCCAAAAGCGATGTCAGGCCAAAGGGGTCGGCTGGCAAATGTGGCTGCTGTGGTAGTTCAGCTTTAAGTAAGATAATCTCGTTAACCATCTTTATCTGGTTGGTGGTTTGGAACATTTGTTATTTTCCCCAATAGTTGGGATGATGATCCAATCTGACTTTAATATGTTTCAGGGGGATGGCTCAACCACCAATTAGTTATCCTTTGGAACCACTAATGATGATTGTGATGGTTAAAGATGGACAGATATTAATGATGTGTCGTAATGATAATCAATGACTCAGCTTATGGATCAATTATATATTACTAACTGGGATGATTAAAGTGAGTGGGTCAAGCGGTCAAGCATCCATCATGGACCAAGCAGAGCTTGAAAAAATATGCTATATCTGGAGACCCACAGATTGTGACTGATGTGAAGCCACATACTTCTCATTTACAGAATGGGCTCAGTTCCACTGTGATGTTGGATTGTTGTTGTTGTAGGCCGAACCAGCAAACATGGGTCTTAAATAATGAACTATCTTCATCCATGGGTTTGCCTGACTTGAGGTTTGTAGGGTGCCCCAATGTCATGGTATAGCCCCATTTTCCGACCTGCGAAGTGCATGGTAGAAGTGGCAAGAACATGCTATTCACCTTGCCAATCCCATCCAATCCCTGTTAATACTATTGGAAGTACTATGGATATACCCGACATTGCTTTTGATATATAGAAATTATAGTTCATCAAATGAGTTTCATGCATTGGTGTTGTACTCGCAATTGTTTGTACGAGCTTCTGATCCAATAATTCAGTCAGGAACCACGTAATTGTGATACATAATGACTTGTGGGGTATGAGTATGTACAACCCAACTGTCTACTCGCAAACCCCGGTTCCCATGCCAAAATGACCAGACTAGTCCTGTGGAGAGATGTGAGACGTCCGTCCATGAAATTTTGGATGTTCTGTTTTGGCCTCCAGTGTCATCAAACGTGGCTGGCTGGAAAATCTACGAAGTACATTAATGAAGCTTAGTTCGCTGGGAACATCGAACTATATATATGGTCAGTAGCTGACAAATGAAACCCTTGTAACTTGAATGTACTGGCATTCTTTCCAGTTCCAATCATCTATACTATGTACATTACTCATGTGGTAAACCCAGTGATAAATCATTCTCAAGATCATCATAAATAGAAAGAACCCATCTCCAAAATGGATCAACATGGTATGTTTATGTTTTCGGTGAATCCTATATTAACCATTATTAGTCATTGCTAAACCTACCATTGAAATCTGATCCTCCCCAGTTTTCGGCACCGCCAAATCTGGTGCGTCAGTTTGTCGGCCGCAGAGCACGCTGCGGCCGGCAGCGTCGCCAAAGCCGCCACTGGGTTAACACCGAAGGGCTATGGTATGTAATCTGAAAGTGTTGGGAAAAATATCAAAATATAATTCTTGAAAAGCATCATGTTGATATATGATTATATATATATACGAATATACTCTAGATGTTTCGATCATAAATCCCCATCAGCCTTAAACCTACTAACACCACTATTCTGTCAAGGGGACACTTTGTAGGTTCATATTATTTCTTCTTCATTTTGAGATGGGTGCTGTTTTGAAAGCCAGGATAGAAGTTACCTTTCTGCTGGAGTGTATCAGTGTATCAATGGTTAGCGGTCCCAAAAAGTGGATTTAACATAAATGGGAGAGTGTTTGGCATGAATGGATAGATAGAGATAGATAGATTGATTGATTTGATTTGATTATAGAGAAGATAAGATAAAATAAGATAAGAACTATTTGTCTATCTATCGATCTATCTACCTATCTATCTATATGTCTATCTATCTATCTATCTATCGATCTATCTATCGATCTATCTATCGATCCATCTATCTAATATATTCCTCTATCTATCTATATGTCTATCTATCTATCTAGCTAGTTATCTATCTATCTATCTATCTGTCTATCTCTACAATGTAAAACGCTGCACCAAATTGTTAATTTGACAACGCAGACGGATCCAACGAACAGAGATCTCCGACATCACCACCACAGAGGGGTGATTGTTGATCAACCCAACTGGGGCGCAACAACCTTCAATGAATAGGCCAGGCCATTTAAAGTGACCTCTCAGTGAGCCCTGGTTTGAGGTAACTTCGAGAATTGTCACATACTAAGCCAGCATCGCCCAAAAATCCACCATGTGATCAGTGACGATTCTCAGCTCCTGAGGCGACTAAGCTGATTCTCTATCCCCTGGACACCTGGAAAAGTCGGAGACAGGTGCCTGCAAGACATAGTCGCGAGGGTTCGGGGGCCGAATCTGTGGCATTGGGTTGTAAGGCTATCAGGCCCTTGATCATCCTTGATCTATAGTTGGAACAAGAATAGTGGGGAAAACTTTGGATGAATAGAGACTAAAGATCTAAATCATTCAAAATCGATCTAAATCCTAAACATGGACCCATCTACTGTACCCCGAAAATCATTCAGTTTCATTAAGGCGACACGATCGACAGCCCATTTTTTCACAAACAATAGGTCAATGCCGGTAGATCATTTATCAGACGGGCCCATCTAAGAGGACCTCATAGCTATGTATTTATATAGTGAATCCATTGGTGGATTCAAGAATGTTCAAGACATACACCAAGAAATGATTCACTCATTCACGCTAGAAATACACAATTGTGTGGATTCCGTATTGTTGGTGAATCGTTGAGGGTCAACCAACGACAAGAATCCAACAAGCAACAGGGATAAGGCCATGAGTTTACAAGGTGAGGTTTTCGAGGATAGCTGAGTTGACTGATAACTTAACCAGGGTTTATGATGGTTTATGGATGTTTCTGGTTGGGGTATATAATGTACAACATTGTATAACCACGCATAACCATACATTGCCATACATAACAATACATCACAGTATATAATCATAGTCAATGGGTTTATATACCAACAGCATAACTGGAAGGGCTTCACCTCGTATCATCAAGAATTCAATGAAAGGAACGTAAGCATCCCGAGTTGAATGAGATTGTTTCTCTGTATGAAGTTCCCAACTTCATCGATGGAATAGAATCAAGAGAAATGGGATAGCATCAAAAAACAGTTGGATATCTCAGCTGAATGCAGGCATCACCTCAGTTTGTTGAAGAAAAGGATACCCCAAAGCTTAATGATCTTAATAGTTTTTATATGTTTTATATGTTTTTTTTATCGTGTTCCGCATTTACATGATCAATTTGGGGGATACCCCATTGTTAGACAGACCCATTTGATCGTATACTATATGCTGGTTATATATCTAAAAAGATTCCAATCAAACGTCCAAGCAACCAGTGAAATCCCCTTTTTTGGCTGGTAAATCTCCATTTTTTTGTCCAGGCACGGCGCTTTGGCGACGTGGGGGAGTTCCGACACCTACAGGGCTTGCGGGGCGTCTACCGCGGCGTTGTGCCATGGTGATGGTTTGGATCGCTTTGGGTATCACCCCTTCACCAACATTTTGGACCATTTTGGACATTTTAGATGGTTTTAATTCTTCGGACCATTTCGGACTTGTATTTTTCTCAAGTACAGTAGCAAGGTATGTTTTTTTGAATTAAGGGACATGTTTGGGCAAGGTTTTTGGGTGCAATATGTAAGATTGTCTTTTGGGTGCATCATGATGCTTGGCACGGTGAAATTAGGTCAAATGTGGGGTGTCCAAAAACAAATGTGGGGTGTCCAAAAACACCCATGTAATTAACATTGCCTTACTGGGTTCATGTCGTTTCTTGTCTCGTCTCCCCTGATGTTGTCTCAGGTCGGTATGCCGTGGGGAAGTGTGTATCAAAGTTTATAACATATATATATGATGTTATTATTCCATTGGATCATTATGATCATTGCTTATATAGTAAGACCACAAACAAAACGCTAATCACGGCACGCTAGAAATTTCACCCACCATGAAAACCTACCATTTTGCAGCGCAGATCTTTGGAGCACCACTAATATAGCAGCACCGTGAATGGATCCGTCATGGGTTATATGGTCTTTGTGATAAATTTGCTGGTAACTCAAATATAGTCATTTTGGAAGGCTTCTCAAAGTTTGAGCCACAACCATACACAAATGTGTATGTGTTTTATTTGTCGGCTCATTTATTTCAGGTAGAACATATGTTTTTGAACTTGGTTTTTCATTGGGATACTGGTACTGTTTGCAAGGTTCCCCGGGGTAATCATACAAAAAGATGTGAAAAGAAACATCGACTTATCTTGGAAAATGATCTATATGGTAGATTTGCCACATCTATGTAGACCTTTACAGGAGGGTATCTCCCTTTGCAGTTACATAGTTCGTAGATGCGCCAAGCTGAGTGCCCGTGTTGTGTGGGTTTGTAGGTATACTTTTGATCATATTATATTCTTCTGTGATGTAATTTTACCAACAATGGAAATTATATGGTCAACACATTATTACTTGGATAATATGTTGTAAGTAACGTGTATTGTTGACACGATGTACAGTATCTTAAATGTATGGAATTCAGTTTTTATTCATATGATAATGTAATATAAAAAATATATACATGATAATATGTATATATTTATAATTATCTATAAATATGTGCACATATAGCTATGAATTATTGTTCTATGCATACACTTGATGACGATTCCATGGCTGCGTCGAGGTGCCAAAGTTACTGCTGTATTCGCCTTACCAGGCGATCGTTGTGGCGGTGCATCCCAGGAATTCTGGGAAAACCACGAGGATTCTGAAGATAAATGGTGATTCAATGAGACTTCATAGGGATTTAATGGGATTTAATGGGATTCAATGGAATTTAATGGGATTTAATGGGATTTTAATGGTGATTTAATGGGATTTTAATGGTGATTTAATGGGATTTGATGGGATTCAATGGAATTTAATGGGATTTATTGGGATATATATGATGGTATACCCTCTGGTAAAGATACAAAATAACTATTGAAAATGGCCATTTAGTTCGTTGATTTACCCACTAATAGCATGGTGGTTTTCCATAGCGAACTGTTTGTTTACCAGAGGGTAACTAGCGTTAGTAAGGGCAAATTACCATGCCATAAACGCGCCACATCACCATGTTTTTTTGGTGGTATGTTCACCAAAGCATTTCCTGTCATGGGTGGTAAAAAATGACATTGTTTTACCCACATGATGGTTACCAACTTGGGTGAATTGTCATCATCACCTTGCAAGTTGCTCCTACTAGGTCCTAGTGGAGGAATAGACTCTCCATGCGCCAGCCATTTTTGGGGTAGCGTTTGGTGTACCTAGGCCTAGGCTTTTGACTCAGTTCGCCATGACCCAACGAAATTGGAGGGATCAGACTGACTGGAAACGTTGGCCATCCAAAAGGGACTTAGTATTCACATGTGTTTGGTGGCCTCATGGTACTGTAATATATATATATACACATTAATATGATATGAAAATCCTATAATCAATATGATATATATATATATGTTGTATAGTGTTTGTTTTCCTGTTCCCCCTGGTTTGTGAAGGGTTTCGGTGTCCAAAATGACCACATGTTTTTCACCACCAGACAGGCTTCCTCCGTGGGTGGTTTGGAGTAGTTGCCTTGGCAATGCAGGCGTTCAAATTTGTTATGGTTACTGATGGTTAATGTTTACAGGATCATTGTTTACATGAGGACGTTTATTGTCAAAATGTTATTGTTAGTGTGTGAATGCTATATTGTCAACTTTGCATGTTTAATATATATATATATTATATATATATATACGTAGTGGTATGCTGTTCACAATTAAAAAATATTTTATTATAATATTGATTGTTTTTTGCATGTGTGTATTAAACCTTGTTGTTGGACGTTGGAATGTGCACATATATATATATATATTGTATCCATACTGTTCCTGTTCATGGTGAAGTTCGCATCACAGTGTTGAAAAAAATGGATGGTCAGTATCCATGGGGTCACTTCTGGAATATCCACAACGAACAGCATTGTGGTTTGAAAACCTGGATACCAGGGTGAAATAAGCCGTGCCCACATAAGTTGACGATCAGGCCAAAGACTCAGCACGCATCCTGTGGGGTGCTCGTCACAAGCTCATCCTTACAATGTGGGGCTACCAAACGATAGCTAAGTTGGTTTATAATTCCAATAACTATAGTTGATGGGGTATATAAACCATCTTATAACTGGGGGTCCCCACATTGTAGAGAAGTTAAAGAAAACAGAGTTGTCCATCAAGCTGAAGCATCTCTCCAAACAATACGCAGATTGCTACTGGCAAACACGGACGCATGCTTGGCATCCTTGGCGGATCCCAAGTTGTGACGGTAATCCTGGACGGAATGGACAAGGGGAAATACACATTTCCAAGGAGTTCTCGGCACTGAACCGGCCAGGCTTAGACGCTCATGGAATACTGGCCAATGGGCACTTGGAGGAAATGGGAATACGACTGAGTTGCCTATCCATGCCACACTGGCATATCGACCTATGATCGGGGCTATTTGGATATGTGGAACAGACATTGTCATAAATGGAAATATCCAAATTGTGATCATTGAAGCCCCCATAAATTCAATGCCTCTGCGCTCACTAAAATAGTGACATGATGGGGATTCAACCACCCTTTTTGAGATGACCAAGCACTTATCAGTGGTTGCTGGAGGTCAAAGCCCTAAATAATTGAGACCCATTTTTTTGGGGGTCACTTGGGGGGTGTATCCCATGATATTCCATTGCATCCCCCTATTCGGATGATTCTATACGACATTTTGGTTGCTTAAATCGAATTAGATCGACACATATTGCCATTTGGGGTGGTTGAATTCCGGCACGGTAAACCTCCAAACCCTCTCCAAGCCCTTTGCTCGTGCTTGGCGTTGGGGCAGGCTGTGTACATGAGCGCCTATGTCACCGCCAGGGACAAGTTGCTCCAAGGTACGCCAGCAACTTTGAATCTGCCAGTGATATATTGGATATCTGATATACCCAGTTGACATACGTATAATACTGCGTGTATACACATATTCACTATGTGTATGTATGTCTATAACTGTATATATAGTAAATATATGTAAATATATATATATAGTATATGCTATCATGTCCAGTCAGCAGTGAACAGTTGAACCGCACACTGCGGTCAGGAAAGCTATTGTTTCGGTTCTGGGGTAGGAAGGTGATTATCCTCGCACTTTGGAGGGCTGCTTTCGGATTTAAGGCATGTTTTTGCAAGGTGGAGCGATTGGAAGTGTGTCAAGAGTTAGATTGATGGGATGATGACCCATGAGATTGTGGAAACTAATAAAGGATAGGTCACTTGACTGCCCAAGAAATGCAACTTAAATTAACCCGTGTTCTGTTTCAACTATTGGACATTAATTGAAATCAAAATGATTTGTTGAAATCAAAAGCTGTTATCTCGAACTTGTTCACCGACTACTATGATTACTGTTAGCTACGTCCCCCTGTCTCAAGAATTGGTAACGCAAAATCTTGCGATTGAAAGGGCATGCTTCCCCAATATGTTTATGGCCATTTTGATGTCATGCCCGACAGACCCTCATTTTTGGAGAATCGATACGTGATGCATGGATTAGATACTTAAGTTTTGATGATTAAAGCCGAGCAAATGATGGTTAAATCCGAAACGTTTGACAGTAAGATGTCACAACGTCACACTTATTCCATACTGTTCCCTACTGTCCCCAAAACAAATGAAGGTAAAAACATGCTAAAACATGCATATTACTAGACTTGTATCAAATTGTTATGGTGATATTTCCATATATTTACCACATATATCGGCTCTTTCCATGGGTGGCACCTGCTTAAGGCCCTCGTCCTTTTGGCGACTCGCCCTTGAGCTTCGTGGCCGCCGGCATGCTGGCGGAGGTGCCGGAGAACTGGATGTTGCAAGGTGGTGCCCCCCCAAGTTATAACTATAACTATAGATATATCAAGTTATTATAGTCCATGTATAATGTGATATATCACTATATAGATAGTTAAGTATATATATAATCACATTAGATAGTCAACTATAGATATATAACTACTATAAACCATAGTGACATTGGACTTATAAACCAACTGAACGCTAACGAACTGGGGCACCACCCTGTGGCCATTGTGGAATAGATATGATGATGGCCAGTAGAAAGCTGATTTTTCCTGTACTTAGAGGATCATCCCACGAATCGAAAGTGGTTAGTAGCCATAGTTAGTTCTCCCATTTACCCTCTGGTAAACTAACAAGCTATGGACAATCACCATTTTTAATGGGTAAATCCACTATAAATGGCCATTTTCAATAGCTATGTTAAATTACCAGAGGGTACATATTGGATGAAATGGGGGTACCCCGACATCCATCATCCATCTTGATGATGGATTTTTCCTTGGAAACCATCCAGCCATTGGGATACCCCAATTTAGCAAACCTCCATGTGATTATGTTGTACAGCTGAGTAAGTATTAAGTGGTTATTTTTTTGTAGGAGGACAACAATTGTGATTATGTTGTAGTTGTTATTTTTGTGGTATATGATTATTGTGAGATACTAGTTACATATTACTATTAATTAATAATAATGCAATCTCACATTTTTTGACTGTACATATAGTTACATGTACAGTATATTACGGTACTATTGTACCAACATTGCCATTTGTGTGTAAACATTATATTTTATACTATATATATATATATATATATATTTGAACATAGAATATATGATATTCACTTTGGATCTATCTATACTAGTGATATTGAATGTATCTATCAATATAAATTTGTTTGGCCAAGGCAAAACATCATACATCCATATTATGGTATTATTGCGATCAAGGTCTGTGAATTCTAATGCACCAAAGACATCATAGAATTTAAAAAGGAACACACATATTCACCCCGCTTCGCGTGGGGTGGCCGCCCACACCGCAGGTTTATTTCGGTCCGTGAGAGGGGCTAAGGGCGGTTTTCCCCCGTGGGGGCTCTTCAAGCTAAGAAGTTTCAATAAGAAATCCTTCCAAAACATTGTTTTTGACAGTGTTTTTCCAATGTTTCCAGTCAAACAGACGGTAATTTACACGTTTTTTGCCATAAAGGCAGTAAATCCTTCCAAAACATTGCTTTTGACAGTGTTTTTGTAATGTTTCCAGTCAAGCATACGGTAATTTACACGTTTTTTGCTATAACGTCAGTCCAAAACACTTGTTTTTGCAGTGTTTTCAATGCTCTGGCATCCAAAAACCCTGCAAAATCTTGCTATGTACAATGTTTTTTTCATTTTTGGCCGTTTTTCCATTGCCGGAAAGCTACCAAAATGACCCAAAATTCCATTTCAATACCCTCTTGCGCTCAGACACCCAAAAATCCTCGAAAAATGTCGAAAACACCACCGTATTCTGGTCTCGGTGCGAAACCGTTTTTGGGGTCTGGTCTCGGTGCGAAACCGTTTTTGGCCCCCCCCCCCAGCTAAAGCTGATATAGCGACTGCTATATTAACAAATGTCATTGAGCATTTAGTGTTGCTGTTGCCCCCCAATAAGCACGCCTTCACCGCCAAAGCGGTGTGGGCGGATTTTAGATATATGCACCTCGATTTAGTACTTTCACACGATGTAACAAAGCAGCTCGACTTTGCGATTCGGGTGCATTTGGCTCGCTTGGATTTGACATAATTTGCTCAGCAAAAACTTGGCTTTAGCTAACCAAAATATGGGATTGATATCAAGAAGACCGGGATTTAGTCAGGAAAAAATGCAACATCATCAAGAGATTGTGCATGTCCCTAGCAAGAGTTGACAGAACAATGAGGATTTTGTCCGTGAAAACGGGACATGAGCAAGCTCGACTAAAATGCAGTCTCGCCAATAGAGAAGATGTTATTCCGAAGAGAGCAACATGGACTTCCGCCCGTTTCGTTCGTGAAGGTTCCAGTAACAACAACCTCACAGAAAGAGGGGGGAGGATATCTTGTGTATAAATGAGGTAAAACCACCGACATGAGGCTCAATTTGAGCTAAGAGGATGGACCAGACCTGAACGGATGGACATAACATGGGACATGCTTTACTACAAGAACACTCATGGAGTGTCTCCCTTGACGTCATGCAAATTCGGCCCGCCAGGTGACTTTTTAGATTTCGCCCTTATCAATCGTGGGTGCTTAATGCGCCTATATAATCATTCTTGTGTAAGTCACCGAAATAGGGGAGGGGGGAGGTTGAGTTTCTTTGTATATCCCATTGATTTGTCCATTATATGCCAATTACAGCTCCATGACAAAAATCGGCTAAATGACTTGCCTGGATACTATCCCATGTTATTCCCATCATGTCCCATTCTATCACCACATGTGTTGCTTAAATCCTGTTAAACCAGCCATTTTTTGTTTGGTGAAATCCCTCCTTGCCGCTGAGAAAATCGAGGTGGCTGGTGCTGCTATTCGACTTCCTATGGAGGCGCAATGGGAAAATGTGCCCTTTTCTTTTTGTGATAAAGCATAATAAAACATACATATTGTTGCTGGTGATTGTGAATGGACCACTGCATTCTATTCTATTCTATTCTATTCTATTCTATTCACTTACCACAGACATGCAGTGTGCAGATCTAGGTGATAGAATGTTTGCGAAGGATTTCACCATTTGTTATAGCGGTTGTTTTGATGCTTCCCTTGTTATTATAGAGGTTTGCTTCCATGTGGTTTTCACTTCCATGTGATTTACTGCCGGCTTGAAGTAGTCTACGACATGGAAACCCAAAAGAAGTGTGTGCTCTTTTCAAAGAAGATGCCAATAGCCTAGACAGCCGCCAATCATTTTTGGATCCATGTGTCGTAGCGTTTTTTCTGCCGCCATCGGTGTGCCAGGTATCCAAGCTTCGTTTACAGCTGGGAGCGTCTGGATGCCTGGGGATGCCTATTGAAAAAAATGGCCCAGTCGAAATCGATGATTTACCCAGCTACTTTTCGCATGGTGATTTTCCATAGTTATGTTAGTTGAAAATGGCCCATTTATAGTTGATTTACCTACTAAAAGTGGTGATATTCCATAGTTTTTTGTAAACGTTTACCAGAGGGGATTTTTTTGGGTTTCGTTGATCAATCGGTTTTACCAGATAAAGTCCTTGCCGAAGATGCTAGCAGATGCTAGCAGCAAACTGTCCCAACAGAAATGAAAAAACACCAAGCCTCTTGCAGTATAGCTTCATAGTGCAGCAGGCTTGACATTGATTGAATCATGGGCTCCACTGCAACTGTAGTCACCCAACCTATCATATTGTGCACTGCAAAAGCAGGTAGGGATCAATTCCATGGATGCAAAGCTTCCACGGCAATACTCCATCTCGAGTGAACGTTTTGGGGTTGGCATGTGCCCATTCCAAGGGTTTAGTGGATGTAAAGGTTGCTTCCAACGGCCTACTTTTTTAGTCAGTGAGTTTCCCAACAAGCAAAGCAAGAAACGTAAAGCAGAGTTGTTCAAGGTTTTCCGTTTAATCATGTTTTAACCACCAGTTTTGTTGCGCAATACACGTTTCCGGTCGAACTCTAAGACTGAACTTACCCTGGCTCCTTGGAAATGTAGGTATCGCAATACGTGGCATGCTTTCAAGGATCGCGCAGTGGTCGCAGTGGTGGCTGTGATTCGGGGAGTTCACCAACAAAATGTTAACTGGTTATGTGGGTTTGTCTCCCTTAACGGCGGAAACCCCAAAAACGACCTCTCTACAGGCAAAATGATGATCCACCGATCCTAATTACATTGTTCTTTTTGGATGGTGAAAGTATAAGTGGCACTGTGCATTCTCATTCCCATTTCCTTAATGAACCTAAACCGAGAGCGCCAACGAACACCCCACGGGTGGTCAGTGATGTGCGTTCTATTGGTAAGTTCTCATCTGGCTTTGGAGACACCAAATTCCAAGATCAAGTTTTGGCGTATCAAGGATGTGTTGTTTCTGTAACATCGCGATGCCTTCCTATAAGCTTGTCCTATCTCTGCTGTCCCTTATATAAGGAACGAGAAATTGTTTGTTTTCCCATATTTGGGGGTGTCTTCCTGCTATAGATCCGCTCACCTGAGCCCAATGCTGGTTTCCTCCTTACGTCTAGAAAATCTACGGCCAATGTTGCACTTCACCATTCTTGTGCCACCAAAGAAGACCCAATAAATCCCAATAATATCATATTATAATATCTAAGGCAGGTCTATGAAAATCTAAGGTCTATGTAGCTCTACTCTTTTGGCAGGACTTGATGATGAATCCTGGACAGTTGATGCGTGGCTTTGTGCCGCTTGGCAGCTGACGCCAGGGCTGGGTTGAAGGTACCTTTTGATGTAGCGAAGAGTGATCAGTTGCAAAAAAGCACTAGATTTGTCTAAAGATATTCCGCTCGTAAATCATTATTTTCCCGAATAAAGTGCAATGTTTGCAGCCTGTATGCTGCTTTGCTTCCATTAAAGCTCGAGCTAAGAACACATACTGAACCTCTCCGGATGTTGCTATGGCTCCAGAGTGGGTCGATGCCGCTTAAATCTGTCGTGCATTGCCACTTAACCATTTGGTATATATATATATCTATATAAGCAGCTATAAATACGTTTTTTGTATCCCTACTTTTGGGCTTGTTGCCATGGCTATACCCATGGACATTACCCCCAATTGCACTCCCAAGAGCTTATCCAAAATTGAGCCAATATTTTTTTCACAGAGGCAGGTTGCATGCAAACCTATGCCACATCACAACACCATTTTCAAAGCAGAGACTGCAGGTTCCAAAGATGTTGCCGGTGACCTTCGTCATTTGCACTACCCCAAGGTTCTTGAAAGAGTAGAAACTTCATAAATGATCAGTACCTGGTGTGTAGGGTCTTAAACATGTATAATCAAATTGACTTCCGTTCCAAAACGGTCCGGAATGCAGCAGTCCACTACCACTCTCCAGGCCTCAAACCCTCATGCACGACTGTTCCTACAGTGCGTGCGGCTGGTTCATCTTTGAATCTGGAAGGTAGCTGGGCACGTTACATGAGCAGGGTGCACAAGACTCATTCTATGAAGGAACATTATTAATATGGAAGTGATAGTTGAAGTAATGTCCTTGTGAATTTGTTACATTCAGTATATGATTGAAAGTGATTTGTACGCACGCATTTGGACATATGCATATCTTATTAACATTTTTGTATAGGGACTTATGGCATTGGACTGTCTGGCCATGTTCGTATCTGGACCAAATGAGTTTCAATGGAATTGGAAGAAACGCTTATCGCTTAACTCTTTCGCTTGATGGAGTCCAGGAGGCAAGGGCCGAAGGGTTCAGTTCAATGGCGACAGGCAAGAAGTTATATACATCTTAAATCCCATTACCTAAGGCATGACAGGGATTAATGGTTAGTACAAGGTGGTTACATAATGTAGGTGATCCCATAAATGTGTTAATACAGTTATGGTTACATCATGTGTTAAACCCAAGGCCATTAAGCCATCCCATTACCGGATCCCATGACTGGGGATTATTTTACATGATCCCGGCGGAGGGTATACCCAATAATAAGCCACGAGAGGTCCCGCAATGCCGAAAGACGGTGAGTTTTCATGCTCTATCCTCCCAAATCAATCCAAACATATCTTGCTTCCAAGTAAAAATCCACATCATCTCATGTAAAAAGGCGGTTTAGCGGTTGGAAACCATCCACTTACTGAGGCCGGACCCAGTTCCCAGCCATTCCCAGCCCAGTCGACACATGCCGTGAACTCAGGCAGTGGCTGTTCTCCATGCGTGGAACATCTAACCTTCCAGTTGGGATCGTCAGGGATGGCGGAATTTTCACCCTCCCAAGAGGTTTGTGAAATTGGGTATAGTATAGCGGTATTTTTCATAGAACATATAGAACTGGATGTAAAATGAGCCCCGGTCATGGTTGGTTTTTGGGATTAGTTATGGCATTGGGATTACGTACCACATTATTCACATTCTGAATGTTTCCACCAGGCCTGCTAGAAAATCCATAGAAGCAATTGAGTTAAAGGTTTTTTTCTTTTGCAATGGTCAAACAGTAGTAATTTCTTCATCAAATAATCTGAGTCTACTTGCACGCATCTTACAATCAGCAAACATAACATGTTTATATATTTATGTTTATGTTTATTTTTTTTACCAACACTTGTGTTTGTGTTTGTTTGATCTCATCAGTTTATTGTTGTCATTCTGATTCGTTGCGTATATAGTGCCTATGTTTGCAACATCATGTTTATATACAGTAGTTATTCAAAGTGCATATTGCTGTAATGTTGTCAGACTTCTTATCATTCTCTATAGATTATGGTTAGCATCTATCATTATCATTATCACTCTTGGTAATATGATCTTTGAATTCCTATGTTGGTCTTACTGTTTGTTTTCCTATGCTGTTCCTACGTTTTTCTATGGTTTTCCAATGTTTTTCTATGGTCTTCCCATGTTTTCCCATGTTTTCCATTGGGAGTCGATTCGGATTCGGACCAGGTGCATGAGAACCTCCTTCTGGGCTTCGGCACTGGTACCTTGACCGCCCTGGCCTCTTGGAGCTGAAAGGTTCGCCATGACGATTGGTTGCCTGGTTGATTGGTTGCTGGGACTTATACTACAATGTGGGGCCCCCGTTCGATAGCTAAGTTGGTGCAAAAAACTCCAATTTCACTATGGTTTATGGTAAGCAAATAACGAACTAGTTACTGGGGCGAATCTAAACCAACGTTCACATCACTGGGGGGCCCCACATTGTAGCGAATTTGATGAGGATTCTGATCACCCAGGGGAAACCTACCAACGAGACCCAACGAGTATATAATGAGAAGGGATAAAGGGGTATTGTTTATGGCTCAAATGAGCAGTGGCTGCGATCTAGCCGTGTTGATTGATGATGAGTTTGGGGGATTATAGTCACCCTATCTCACCCTGTGGGGCTAGGGCCTAGGGGTATCCATCTTCCCTATGAACAATGGGGAGCCAGTTGGGGCTACCATTGGGTTTTCCCAAGCACATGACAGTAGTGGCATAGCATTGATGATCGATGATTATAGTATAGTATAGCCAGTATAGCTATTTAATTACAATTGAATACAATTGATACATTCAGATTGGTTGATCAGCTATTGAATGAATAATCAACCATCATTTATAAGAGTTTTGAATTGTTTATATAAAAACATCAATGATATGGGAATAGTATTGCTAAACTATGTTTGTTCATGGCCGTTTGATGCAGAACAAATGGGCAGACAATAGTGGATATACTGGGATAGTTTGTCAATAACTTAGCATGATTGATGAGTTATTGAAAGGGCGTATAATCATCTACTGTGAGGGGTTTTAACATCCGCAACATTGTGATGATGTAATTGAGAATTAAGATATGATAGTTGGTTGATGACTTTTCGAGTTTCTTAGACTAGTTGTTGTTCTATTCTGGGGATTATCAAATGAGCTGGGAACTTGTCTGAACCAACCATGTTTTTATTTGAATTCCCATTAGACTCTTGACGCTGTTGAGATGCTGGTCATTTATTTGGGGCAATTTATGCGCCTTATGGCAACTTTGCTTCACCAGTGCAGATTTTTTTCTTGTCATCGCTGCATCCCATGAGGTTTCAAACTGTTGGATTTCACGAGTCAAGTTGCACGTCATACCATGTGTTGCTAAGTCATTCAGTGATGTTGGGTATCATGGGCTTAGGGTACACTCCTCTTTGATTGCACTAGGTGGGGTATAATGGGTATGCTTTAAAATAGTTGATGCGCAGCAGGTTAGACCATCATTTGTAGGTTGAAACGCAATAGAAATAAGAAATAGGGTGGAATACCAGTATGGTCGTTTACCTCTTTGTGCAAGCCACGGAACAGTTTTGGGGGCTATATTATATTCCCTCAAAAGAGGCAATAGCTGCTGGCTTGTGGTTTCAAACCTTTTTTCATGTCATATTTGGAAGGTTGATGCCAACTGAGTATATATAATTGTTTAAGAGGGTTGAACCCACCAGCCCTGTTGGATAGTGGTCTTTAAGCTACTCTTTCTGACAACGCGTTTTTTTTTCCAGCAACAACTGTTGTCATTGAGGTCACTAATCCCCTGGATGTGGTCAAGACCAGTCAGGGGGCTGAGAAGTCAGCTCATCTACAACGGTGGGTTTGTCTCAAAGGAGGGATAGCCCAAAATTGCAAATTTGGATGGGACAATGATTGCCTTTTATTTTTGGGTGTACAAACAAATTTGACACAACAAACTCAGCAAAGAATGATGGTTTTGAGCCCCCGAAAGCACAGAGTATCGCTGAGTGGCCCCGATTTCATCATCCAGGTGATTGAAGAAGTGACCAGGTGAGAGGTTCCCATAGGGCTTCCGGTTCATCAAATGTGGCTAGCTGGGAAATTCCCCCAGTGAAATGGAGGTTTAGAGCTGGGAATTTCATCCAGGATTTTCCAGCAATCCCTGTTTGATAGCCGGAGGGTAGTAACTCTATAGCCGTAACTCAAATCCTTTCAGGAAAAAAACACACATCCCACATCGAGAGAATTTGAAGATCTACATCAGTCGCCTTGGAGGTGCCTGGGAGGTGTTTACTCTTCCAAGGTGGAAGCCATATGAACCAGTGGTCCAATACGAAGTAATTTGCAACCTTGTGTGCTCTATGCACAACAAATGGAAATACATACTAGGTACATAGCTCTGCAGAAACCGGAAACTAAGAACATCCAGCTTTCAGAATTCAGAGGGTCTTGTTGTACTTGTGAAGTTGGTTCAAACATGTTTGATATTTGTTGTTCAATTCCTTTCCTGCTAGATTCCATCTATAGTCATGTTCAACAGGAGAATCATATGCCAACACCACCACTTCCCGGAGGTTCCCAGAGGTTCCACAGGGTGCTGAGGCGGTCGCCAGAAATTCGACCGCAGCTGAAAATGTCATGAAATGTCATGAAATTGTCATGAAATTGTCAACAAAAAAAACAATTTTACCAGGGAATATGGGGATGGGTCAAGTTACCTATGAAATTACCAGATGGGGGGAAGAACCATCCATTAATTAGTTATTTTAGGGTACCTGGATTACCAGGGTTTTGACACATGACGATATACTTTTTTTTGAGTGCCATGGTTTCAGTCACATAGAGGTAATCATGGGTACTCGTAAAGCCCCTGATATTTCAGGGAAGTACTCGTATCCATTTCTTCGATACATAATAAACATTGTAACATTACGCGTATGTTTGTCATACTTGGGGGGAATATACTGATTTGAGCAAAAGCTATATGGCCCCTGTACATGTTCCATCCTTGTTGTTTAATCCTTAAATGATCGTCAATCCTCGTTTTTGATGAACATCCAGGGGGTGGTTTTGCAAAACGACTCCCACTTTTGGATGGTCAAACATTGGTCGAACATCGTCTTGCATGCTGAGAATAGCCCTTGGTGATAACATGTTTTGGTGTTGGTTGATTAAGTGCAAATCCATCGTGTAATGTTGGTTAATGTTGGTTATTTAATGTTTGTTAAGCTCATGTTGTTGGTTAATGGGATGTTTCATGTTGGTTAATTATCAAATGAGCATTAAAAAAATCCCATTAAATCACCATTAAACCACCATTTAATCACTATTAAACCACTATAAAAAATCCAATTAAAATTAAATCACCATTAAACCACCATTTAATCACTATTAAACCACTATAAAAATCCCATTACATCACTAGTAAGTCCCCATGAAATCCCCCAACCCAAAAGCTTTTCAGGAATCATTGGCTCGGTCTCGCAGCCGCCTCCAGGCTGGGGTGCAAGAGAGAGATGTGGGATGGTGAATTCAACGAAACAGACATGTGAATATAATTGTGGATATATATATATACGTATATATATATATATATTATGATATATATATATACATAGTATAGATATATAGATATATATGCATTTATATATGTATGCATTTATTTATTACATTTTTTTAAAGAATATATCATGCGTCTGAGAAGGAAAGACTCGGAAATATGTATGCATGTATATTATATACATGGGATGTTTCCAAAAATGGAAACCATACTGTTACTGTAACCCAGCAGAAAATAGTCGTGTGCGGCCGGTTGAAGCATGGATGATGGTGGATTGAATCAATACGAGATTTGTTGGGTTTGTTCTGAAAATGGTGGATATCCGCAAATTGAGAAGTTTTGTTTGTGAAATTGATGATTAACCAATTTGCGGGTTTAACTGGCATTGTTTGTCCAGTGATTTCAACAATAGACAGCCACAGTTGATGGACGCAATCCTGCACCATCTTTGATATCGTGGTTACAATTGGTCTACACCCAACTATTGGTACATGGACACATGCTTCGGCGTATATATAAAAAGACATTGATGCATGCATATATTTATAAATAAGTGTGTGTATTGTATTAGTATGCGTATACAGTACATACACGAAATGCATATATCTATGAATTTATGATGCATGTGCCCATGTTTGTCACATGCCCGTTGGGAACGTGCAGGAATCCTGAGCACTGCCCAAAGTATTTGGCGACCCTTGGCCAACTTCCAGTGACTCCAGTGCTTCTGAGTACCCTGTGCCTCGAAGTCCATCCAAACCATCGATTTTTGGGTAAATTCATTACCCTCTGGTAAACATACAAAAAACTATGGAAAATCACCATTTTCAATGGGTAAATCCACTATAAATGGCCATTTTCAATAGCTATGTTAAATTACCAGAGGGTATAATATCCATAGATCTATGAAATATTCAAGTAATGTACTGGACTGTACTGGTTACTGGAGATTAATGGTTGGTATCCCCGATTAGATGAACGGGTTATGGCCACCACTTACGATTCTTGGGTCCTGCACATTCAAGTGATCAGCCCTGATCAGACACCAGTTTGGATTGACACTTACCGCCCCACACCATGTTCCAACAGCCAACAGGTTCCATCCAGGGGAATTGAACCACAAAAAACGGATACGTGTCCAGTGAGCCCATAGGTGTACCCCTGGAAATTCATATCATGCTATAAGGAGCTCCTGAATAATGGGTTTCGTAGGCGATGTGTGCATTGAGCACGGCCACTGTGGAGTTCCGTGACACGTTGTTGGGTCTATCAAACCTCTGTGGGGCCAGCATTCCTCAATTATGGCTGGTGTGCGATAATCTCATTATATCTCACTTGAACTTTGATTTTGTCAGCGGATTAGAGGCGCCAAGAATAAGTGTGTTTCTTTGTTCCTGACTGCTTTGTGTTTGGGGTTGAAGCAATCAGTCTTTCTGGTGTTGCATCCATGATCTCAGCAGGAATGATCCTGTGGAAATCCTCAAATTTCCCCTTATTTTCCCTATTGAAATCTCCAATTCCGTACCCATTTTTGGACGCACCCAAATCATAGATGTTGGCTGTATATCCGCCTTAATACCTATCAAATAGCAATTTAGTCGCCATTAATGGGTTACCCCTAAATAACGCATTTCGATAGGATTTTCCATTATAGACCTTCCATTTTGGGGTACCCCCCATTGCAGGAGTTTCCTCCATTTATTCC